ACACACACACACACACACACGCGCACACACACACACACACACACACACACACACGGAAAATCTGTATGTTTCTCACATGATTAAAAAAGTTCAGACTTACTATTCTAAAATACTGCACAATAATTCAAAATATATTCTTTCAAAACAAGTCCCTGCCACTGTCACCTTCGGTTTGCTAAGTTGAGGTCTAAAGGATGCTTAATATTCAGTAATACCATCCGTTTCATGGCACCGACACTATCAGATGAGAACAAAACTTGAACTGACTTAAGCTGAAGCAAATGACTTCACAATTAATGAATTTTGCAACACTGACACTGTTGAACTGATTTGAACACTGAACTGACTCGAGCTGAATAATGTCACAGTTGTTATCAGCTGAACTGAACTCGTTTCATAATGGATGAACTTCACACAGTTATTGAACTGAACTGAATCAACATTGATGTGAAAAAATGAGTGAGAGCTGCTTTACAGCTAATATTTTGCTTCTATCATTTCGAAGTTTGCATCATTGATTCTGTGACTTTATTTTTCTTATTACTGTAAAGCTGTTTTGAATTCATCTGTATTGTATAAAGCGCTATTGAAATGAAGGTGACTTTAAGCATACTTATCTTGGTTTAAGGCAAGACACTACAGGTGAATACGCTAAAAATGTTAACTAATGGATCTTACCATACTTCTCCTGCTGATTAATCACAATACATAAAGACAATTGGTTTGTATTACAAGTTTTTTTAAATGCAATATTTAAATATGCAAATGAGACATCATCTGGATTCTGAACACTGGGTGAGTCGGGTTCAAATTTCTTGATGTTGTTGTTGAATTAAAGGTTTTTACAGAGAAGATTGTGGATTTCTCCTTTTATCACTCCATAAATCAGAGTGTAGAGAGATAAACATTAAATAAATATTTTGACCATATGAATAAAATGTTCTAAAAATCACTGTGAATGATATATGAATAAACCGCTCTGCTAAACCTTTCAGAATACAGACAGGAATAAAACTGTAAAGTGCTGCTGACGTGGAGAAAAACTCACCGCGTTTAAAGATACGAATTGAAACGGAACTCTACAGACAAATAAATAAAGTGCACACTTAAATGTGCATTTTGGATGTTTTATTTCCACTAGTCTGAAATAAGTCGTGTTGTGCAAATTCTCAAAATTGACCCGTGTATGAAAACAAAACAAAACAATGCTTTTGCCTGTAGTGTCTGGCTTTAAAGATGTTTTTACTGAAAAGCCAGATTCAAATACTAATGAAGAAAATGCATTGCAGTGATCTCTCTCACCTTCACTGAGCCCAGCATGCCGCCGACAAACAGGTAAGCGTTCTGGTCCACATCCAGCACGGTGTAGGTCTCGGGTGATTTGGCACTTCTGAGGGTCGGTAAGATGCCTGTTTTGGGTCCCTCCAGCGCGTGGACCGAGATACTGCCGTTCAGCCCGATACTGGACACCACCAACGTGAGAACAAGACCAACACTTCAGCCACTAATAACCAGCAACACTAATAACCAGCTGTTTTTCTTTTCAGTCATGATTAGTGGAAGGATTGTACGTAATCAACATTTCCCCCAAACACTGTTTATCTTTACTGCTTCATTAGATGTCCATGTGAACTCAAATAACATTTTAGTTTTGTAAAGAAAATGTAGGCATCTGACTACAGAACTAACGTCTGGAAAGAAATCAAAATCATTTAAGAAGCATTAGATAAGACGTAATGTTATTTTGGCAGAAATTATGACTTGGTTTCACTGAATTAACACTTTAAAACGTTTGAATATTTATTCTGAATCAAGTACATTTTTCTTAGTCCACTGACAAATAGTTTTTCTTGATTTTAGCATAAATAAAATTAAATCTAGCGAGGTTTCAACTTTAGACAAGGAAAAATATTTCAGTAGCGTATTACATATCTGCAATATTGTTTAAAGATGTATTCTCCGAAAACCATGGAACACAATTTCCAAGAAACAAACAAACAAAAAGGTAATTGCAACTTTTTTCATCTCACAATTCTGACTTTATTTTTCACTTTTTCAACTTTACATCTTCCAATTTCTTTTCTCTTTTTTTCTCTCTCTGAATTCTGAGTTTATATCTCTTTTAAGGGAGCCTAATTTCATGGCCGAATGGATCTGTCAGTATCATCAAATGCATATTATGAAATGCATAGAAATTTCTAAATAAAAATAAATACATAAATAAATAAATAATAAAAGTCTAAATTGCCAGATGTAAACTCAAAATTGTGAGAACTTAACTAAAAAATTAAGTCAGAATTGTATGTAATTTCAGATTTTTTTTTTTTTTACATATTTCCTGAAAATATATTTCCAAAAAATAAATAAATAAATACTGTGTATATATATATATATATATAGTATATACATGTGTGTGTGTGTGTGTGACACTGGAGCACAAAAGCAGTCTTAAGTCGCTGGGGTATATTTGTAGCAATAGCCAATATTTATTCAGGTATTCAGCTTTCAGAATTTTTTTCAATTTAAAAAAATTGACCTTTATTATTGGTTTTGTGGTCCAGGGTCACAAACACACACACACACACACACACACATATATAATTAGATGTTAACTCAAATTGTGAGAAAACTGAGAATGTAACAACTACCTTTTTTATTCTGTGGTCTCTTACACATGATTTTACACAATTTCCCATCTTAAGTAACTATATCTTGTTTTAAGGATGTGTAAGGGTGATAAAAGGTGATAAAACGCTGATAGAAAATGAGAAAATGATTTGCTGCACTGTTGTCTTTCAACAAAACACACAGTGTAAGTGAACTCTGAATTACCGTGAGGCCTCGATCCGATGCCAGTTTCCATCGTTGATGACGAGATCGGGATATTCGACACGGCCGACCCCTGATCCCACATCCCACAGGAAGTTCACCTTACCCTTCCTCATCTCCACTGCCAAGAAATCCACCTACACGTGATTGAGGAAATTCAGCTCTCGTCAAACACGACATTATGTGTGTGTGGAAGAGTAATGAGCTCTTATTATTTCCCTCTCTCAGCCGTGGGCAGCAGCTGTTTAAGAGAAAGTAAGGAGCTCGTCATCTTTGTTACTGACATGTCCAGGAGTGTGATCCACAGACTGATCTCTTAAGCAGAAGACCTGAAGAGATCCAGACAGCTTTACACTCACGTATTTGGCCGATCCGAGGTAGAAGAGCAGGTTATCAGCAGCAACGGTCTTCAAATGGAGGATGATGGTGTTATAGCGGCCTTTCTTGATCTCTGGCCGGTAGGTGCGGATACAGCTTCCACCGGATGACACAGACACCTTAATCTAGGGGTCAAAGGTCATGAGAGGTCAAGCCAGGGAGTGCAGACAGCACACGATGAATGATCTTGTTTCTTTCCTAGCAGCAAATTACTTAAGGAGACATCAACAAGAGCATCTTAAAATTAAAATGCTTCAACATTTATTGAGCATGTGTGTTCATAGCAAGTGTTTAAATGTTAAATGTCACGAGTGACGTTCGTCTGTGTCTCATTGTTTGAGGACATGAACACACCAACTTCATCTCCAGAGCTGCTCCAAGCTTTACAATGTTTCTTTTAAGAAAAACTACCATCAGAATCTCAAAGGTCTTCACTAAAACTCGCCAAAATATAAGTTCGGATTAACTTGAAGCAACTATAACAGAAATGTATTACTATTGTAGAGTAATGTACAGAATGCACGTCTTAATGCAACAGTGTTACAACTACGACTAATAAAATTATTATTAAAAATGCATTTTTAAGGAATAATCACAGAGTTAATCTTAATTTTAACAGTAAAACCTCTGTGTTGCAGCACTTTGGCAAAAAAAATTAAAGTGTTTAGTTTTCATTTGATTAAAAGATTAATTCAATTGTTCATGTTTTATGCCAGACAAATTAAAACACACCACGCAGAATTGCTGGGAAAAAAAATTAAATAATAAAATTAAAATAAAGAAGTAAATAAATACATATCTGGAAACAAAATACATATCTGGAAAAATAAATAAATATCTGAAAAAAAAATATATATATATAAAAATAAGTTGTTTTGATGAATTAAATTGATTATGCTTGCTTTTTGATTTTGATTAAAAATTTAATTATTTTTTATTTTAAATGAATTAAAATGATAAAATGATAAAATGATAAACAAACAAACAAACAGAAAACACAGAATTAGGTAAAAAATGAAACATATTTCATATAGGGCCCTTTAAATGTAATTCTGGTTAAACTTTTAGTTACGTTTCATGATTTCAATTAATTAAACACGTTCTTTGATTACTGAAATTTCATTTAATCATTAAAAACGTCCAGGAAATGTAAATGAATAAAAACAACAACAACAACAGAAAAACAGAATAAAAAATAAGAATAAAACGGAACTTGGTTAAAAAAATAAAAATAAAAATAAATAAATAAAAGGATTTCACAGGCTATTCTCTACAGTGTAAGATGTAGATGAAGGGTTTTCCTGGAGTATGATGGGCAGTACTCACAGAGTTGGCCTGTTTGCGAGCCTGGCTGATGAGCTCTTTGATCTGCGAGATGTTTTTCTTCAGGTTGTCCTGGAGCTCCTGAATGGGCTTCAGTTTCTCCAACAACCTATCGGCCTCGTTCTCCACATCCTTGACTTTAGCTCCGGCCGCGTGAACTACAGACACACACGCAGAGGAGCGGCCGTCACCAACATTAACACACGAGAGCGAGACAGCAGAAAATAAACACCACATTAGAAACATGCCGGAGAGCGGAGAACGAAAGGCTCTAACAAAAGAGTGCAGGAGACTATGAAAGACTTCAGAAACAAAAGCGAAAATGGGAAAAAGAAGTGACATATTATATATCTCTCATTTGCAGCGTAGGCAGCGAAAGACATGGAGCTGTTATTTCAAAAGAGAAGATGAGAGCAAAAAACGATCTGTAATTAGCTAAAGCGCTCATTAGGATAACAAGCTTAGTGAAGCTTTCAAAGGCTGCGTTTAATCCTGTTGGGTTGAAACAAAGAACGGAGAAAACACTCTCTCTGTACATGCAGCGCTCCGGATAAAAGCACCATGCTGAAGCCTCGGGGAGCGGAGAGAGCTCTTAAACTCATTCGCACAGATGAAAGAAGAAAATCGTGTATACATACTTATTGCTGTCGACGTTCAAAATCAAATGGGGGGGAAAAATACCAAATAAGCATTTAAGTGATCTCGTAACACAAACATTTCAGTTAAGAAATCAAATCTTCACGATCCATGCAGCTGTTGTCTCTATAAAGAAGGATTGTTGCTGGAGTTGGATGGAAGTCGTACTGTTTTTCTCCGGGTCTTTGATCAGGTTGTTGGCTGTCTTGACGTCGTCCTCCAGTTTGCTGTGGTTCCTCTTCAGGCCCATCAGGTTGAGGTTCATGTCCTTCAGGCGGTGGAGCACGTCTATGGCCGTGTCGTTGGCCTCCGCCGCCTTCAGCTTAGTGGCCTGGATCTTCGCTGCCAGATCTACCGTCATCCACACAACGAGAAAATACCATAGGCTTAGCTGCACGTCTCAAACTTCATGCTCACAAAGCTCAATAACAACATTCGTATGAAGAATACACCCAGCTCATATTTTACTCCATAATCAAAGAAAAAAAAGAAAGATAAAGATAAATTAACCTGTTTAATTAAGAACTATTTATTTATTCTGACTTTATTTTCATGACAATTAAGCACATTTCAGGCATCCAGACATTTTAATGTTGAGTTTTCATTACATTTATTATTTATTTCTTGTCAATGATTCTCAGTAGACTGAATCAGCATTCATTTACATCAGCACTATGAATTATGGAAGCCCGTTTCCAATTGCGACTTTTTATCTCACAATTGCGACTTTTTTCTCTCTCATAATTGCGTGATATAAACTCGCAATTGCGAGAAAAAAAGTCGCAATTCTGAGAAATAAAGTCAGAATTGTGAGATAAAAAGTTGCAATAACCTTTTTTTTTATTTTTTATTCAGTGGCGGAAACGGGCTTCCATAACAAATACTACCAAAATGAAAAAAAAAAAAAAAAATACTTTCTTGTTTAATTATATTAATCAGTTATTGCTATGGTTATTATTATATTTTCAGTAATGAAACTGGTGGAGAACTTTGTTTAATTGTCATAAAATCAATTTAACAATCCTAAAAAAAAAAGTTCTCAAACTAGATTTCAGTTTTCTGAAAAAAATATAATTTCTTTTTTTTTCTATTAAAAGGAAACATGCTTTGTAAGACTCACTCATACTTATACATTTCTATTTTAAAAACAATTATCTGTGACAAATTTATCACCTTTCTAGATTACGCTTCTTGAAAATATACTTGAATCATTTTTACGAGAATTTTTATTCTGAATTGTTTTACTTTTTTATTGTTAATTTTATTTCTTACTATTTTGATTATTTTATAATTATTTTAAAAACCTTTTATATATAAAGCACTTTGAATTATCATTGTGTGATATATAGGTTTTTAATTTTAATTTTAATTTCTATTTAGGTTATTCTTAGTAATTCTAGAACTTCAAATTAAAGTTAAAAAAATTAATCTAACATTTATTTTATTTCAAGCTTTCATTTACTGAAAATGGTTTTTAATAGTTTTAGTTTCAGTTAACACCACTGACTTGATATTTTACTGACTCAGTTTTCTCAGGCAGAATATGGAGGTATGAAGGCAACAAGACACATCCAAATCCAATGCTTCCCTATTATCCTGTCTACTAAGATGCCTTCATCTGGGCTTTTTTTTTTTAGAGCAGCACAGAGTTGCCCTTTACAGTCTATGATGATAACCCACAATTCTGTGTGTCAGATGTGGAGGTTGGTGCTTAAAATTGTTTTAAATCCTTAGAAGTGCCATTGTGAGGTTCTAGATAACTGTCTGAAACCTGTTGTGTGAAGCAGTGAGACAGATGCTTTAGGTTTCACACACGCACACGCACACACACACACACACACACACACACACACTGCACTCAGTGGTAACCTTGTCCTGACAGGACCTGTATCAAATGTGTGACACAGACACACACACGCACACGCACACACACACACACACACACACACACACACACACACCATCAGGGATGGCGTTGAGTTTCTCCATTGTGTCGTTCAGGCCTTTCTGTAAGTCTTTGTTCTTTTTGTTGGCTCCTTTCAGTCTGAACTGAAGAGCACCCAGATTCTCTCCATTTTCTGAAAAAAAAAAGAAAAAAAAAAACGATGTTTGAAAAAAATAAGGTTTTTCTTGGGAAGATTTGTGAGAAGCCGCAGGACGCTGAGGACGGTAATCTAATGGGGGTTTTTCACCTTTCACGTCATTGTGCAGTTCTTTGGCCTCGTTCCACAGGCGGTGGCTCTTCTGAACCGAACCCTTGGCCTGGTCTTTCAGAGATCCTTTGGGTCCTGAGGCCTACAGACAGGACATTACACACACATTAGAGCGGATGCCACTCATGCTTCAGACGCTACAGAACCTTCTAGAGGGAGGGACATGTTTTGGAGATTTGTGTTTTATTGGGGAAAAAACTCAATGCAATACAATATAAGATAAAGGACTGTCATTTTTAAATGTGTATATGTGCCACACTTCATGGGAATGAACCTGTAGTACACTATCTGTCCAGTCTTCAATGATCCTTCAGAAATCATTCTAATATGCTGATTTGCTGCTGAAGAAGCATTTCTGATTATCTTCAAGTAATAGTCACAAAAACAATGGCCCTGGTTGTGTGGCGCTAAACAAAAATTATATTCTATATGAAACAGAACACAGAAATCAGAAATGTTGTTGAACGTGACACGATCAGTGTGTTCTTGTCATGCATTTTCACGCTGAGAGAGGGTTAGAGGATTGAAAGCTCATTTTTAGTATTGTTGCATATTGTCAGCTTTGACACTGTTGTGTGAAGCACCCTTGTTCAGTTTTAACCTTTCGCCCCACTATTTCTGCGTTAGATGTGAGAGGATGATGAAAGAGGGTGAACGACAGGAGCGAGGGATGATAACCGGAGAACAGGAGGAAAGCTTTGATCTCTGAAGCAGGACAAATGGAAATGAATTGAACAGCTTTAACATGACCTGCCTGAGGTGTGGAGTGAAGCACAGCATTTCTAGACATTACAGACGAGCTCCTGACAACCACACAGGTATCCTGGATGAATTGTCATAGCAATTCAACAAGAATATACAGTGGTGTGAAAAAGTTTCCTGTTTTTTTAATTGTTTGCTTATTTGTCACACTTAAAAGATTCAGATCATCAAACAAATTTTAATATTACACAAAGATAACCTGAGTAAATACAAACTGCAGTTTTGAAATTATGATTTCATTTATTAGAGGAAAAAAGCTGTCCAAACCTGCCTGGCACTACGTGAAAAAGTAATTGCCCCCTAAATCTAATAACTGGTTGTGCCACCCCTTTGCAGCAACAACTGCAATCAAGCATTTGCGATAAATGGCAATGAGTCTTTCACAGGAATTTTGGCCCACTCTTCTTTGCAGAATTGTTTTCATTCAGCCACATTGGAGGGTTTTTGAGCATGAATGGACTGTTTAAGGTCATGCCACAGCATCTCAATCGGATATATATATATATATATATATATATATTGTTTATGTTATATGTCAGCGGTTCTCAAGTCCAGTCCTGGCGACCCCCAGCTCTGCATATTTTACATGTGTCTCTTATTTAACACTGATTCCGATCATCAGCTCGTTAGAAGAGAGCTCCACGCATGAACTGTGTTCCCACTGATATGATCCCTACACAGTGTTCACTGCTCCCTACTCCTGAGCACAGGACATCTGTTGAACTTTACTTCACTTCAGAACATTCATTCATGGATTTGCGCTACGCCACGGCCTGCAGCATCTTCACACACAGATGAAACTTACTAGAGAAGTGTGAAGTGTGACATAATATACCTCTGTAAATAAATACAGCTGAAATTCACATCTCGCACACTTTAATGCCCTTTGAATGAACATACACTCTTCATACCTTCAAACTGGAGTCACTGTTCTATGTAGCAACAGCAAATTTCCCCTTGGGGCCAATAAAATATACTGTAACTTTGACTTTGAAGACAGTCCCAAAATATCAATTTTAAAGTGTCTTTAGCACCACAAGACTTCAAAAAATGCAAAAATAATGGTTACACTTTATTTCGATAGTCCACTTTAGACATTCTAATAACTATAAGTAACTTTGTAACTACATGTCAACTAATTATCATTAATTTGCAACTACATGTCTACTAACTCTCAGAGTAGACTGTTAGGGTAGGTTTAGGGTTAGTAGAATAAGTTGACAAAGAAAGTGTTAGAAGATATTAAGCAGACAGTCTACTAATACTCTACTAACTGCTAGTTGACATGTAGTTGCAAAGTTACTTACTGTTAATAGAATGTCTAAAGTGGACTATCGAAATAAAGTGTTACCAAAATAATTTTTAGTTCCCTGCATTTCCCTGTTTGCCATTGGCTGGGATATGACCTGTTGCAGTATTGAAAAAATGAGCAAAAATGTTGTCTTCAAAAATGTTGACTTTTCTGCTCTGACACAAAAATACATGATTTGAAAAGACGTGTGTACTGTAAGTAAAAAAATAAATAAATAAATAAACCGAATGTGAACTAGCTGCTGCCCATGTGGAGCATTTCACAACAGTCACTGATGCAGACAGGAGACACTGATGATTCTGTGTGTGTGTGTGTGTGTGTGTGTGTGTTTCCTCACCAGCTGTAGAGCATCAATGCTGGCTTTCTTTGCCTCTTTGGCCACCTTATCAGCCTCATCGATGTAGTTCTTGATGTTGGTGTAAGCCTTGAAAGCAGCGGTGGCGTTGAAGGACAGGTTCTTTGCCTCAGCTAGAATACTACAGAGACCACACACACACACACACACACAGAGTCAGATTAGTGAAAGAAGACAAAATAAACCAACCCAGGCTCACTGGAAAAGCACGCCTGTGGTCACATTTCCACAAACTGATATTACATTGCTTCGTGCATTGCTTCTGCACATTTCGTGACACTTTTTAAATGAAATGTACAGTGAGTGGCACTAAAAGCACATTCTATCCAAAACAGGTGAATGTGAATCTGGCAGCGTTTTATTTCGTTGCTTGTTGTACGTATAAATAAAGTAGCACCTACACTAAACCCTACACTGACCCTAACCTATAGTGCTAAAAAAAACAAGTGTGAGATAAAACGCATTTGCTGAAGCAAACATGCCATTTCTTTATAACTTTATTTGAAAAAGGACCATGTACAATTTTAACATAAATGTTTCCATTTCATGCATTGCACCGAATTTAGCCAATGGCTAGTTTTCATCCGCGGTCCTTAGGCAGGTAATCATAATCACAGATAAACATAAAAACAAAATAACAAACACATACAGTACAGTAATACTTATACACATCCCATCAGAGCCAAAAAAATAAAAAATAAATTTCATCTGGTTTCTGCAAGTGTCTGAGCTCTTTAATTGTGACCTGTGTTTCACAGGACTTTTCACAGATATCTGTGTGCTTCACATCGCAAGTGCAATGCTGCACCGGCTGCGCTACCAAGCAAGTTTACTGTGTCAGAAAAGCCACACACGGAGATGGTTACGTGATGCAAATGTAAAAATGTATTACATTTTACAACTCGTGCACTATGGTTAAAGTGTTTTGATCTCACAACATAGTATTGTGCAAGAAACCATGCAAAAATAAGTCTATATTAATCGATAATCTGCCCTTGTAATCATAATTTATTTGAAAAGGAATAACAGTTGTTGGTGTTTTACTGCCTCTAGTGTTTATTTAAGCTGGAAACTGCAATGAACACAGACACACACACACACCTGTCGAGTATGGCAGCAGAATCGTTGAGCTGGCCGGCGTGGTCCTCCGCTCTCAGCAGCAGATCAGGGATGGAGTCGTCCAGACCCCGACCCAAACGTGCCACCTTAAAATCCAACTTATCGTGCAGGGGACCCAACTCTCTGGCCATCTCCTCCAGCTCCTGCAGACGCCAGTCAGTAAGCCACGGCTCTGACCAGTGGTTATTGTTTAGTAACATTTCATGTGTCCAGTGTGAAACTGACCTCTTTGCCCTGGTTGATGCTGTCTGAGAGAGCGTTAGCTTCATCCAGCATCTTCTCTCCTTCCGCCAAAATTCCCTCCATTTCCTTTTTCTGTTTACCGGCCGCATCCCTCTTTCCCTGCTCAAACATAACAAAACGCTTTAGATACCATACGGAGCGTGTCATAAGTCTGTGTGTTTGTGTAAGTGTGCACCTGCAGACGTTCGAGGTTCAGTTGGTTGTTATCAGCCAGTCCTTCGGCCTGCTTGGTTTTGTTGTGCGCGTCCCTCAGCAGATCCTGAGCTTCGTCCAGTTTCTGCCTGTAATCGCCCATTTTATCACTGACCTCCTTCTTCAGGTCCTCTGTGGCCTGGTGTGGATCTCCAAACAAACGCTTCACTCTAGCCAAAAGAGCCTCTGCGGCACTATAAAGATGAAGAGAGCGAGAGAGTGAGAGCTCCTTATCTGTGACTCATGACACAAGAAAACCCTTTAAGAGACTTTTATTCAGCAAGGATGCATCAAATTGATCAAAAGTGACCGTAAATCATTTACAATGTTAAAAAAAGACTCTATTAAATAAATGCTGTTCTTTTGAGCTTTCTATTCATAAAAGAATCCTGAAAAAAATTTTTTACCACAGAAACAGTTTTTAACATTTAATAATAAGAACCATTATTAATAACTGAGCACTAATAATAATTGAGCAGCAAATCAGCATATTAGAATGATTTCTGATGGATCACGTGACACTGAAGACTGGAGTAATGATGCTGAAAATACAGCTTTGATCACAGGAATAAATTACAGTTTAACAGGTATTCACATAGAAAGCTGTTATCCATAATTGTAATAATATTTTACAATATTGCAATTTTTACTGTATTTTTTATCAAATAAATGCAGCCTTGGTGAGCATAAAAAAAAAACTAAGAGACGTTTTTGTTTTTGCACACACTGTTCCTTCAATAAAATCCTACAACCCTGAATGAAGATGTCACGATCAAAGCTGAAGCTGAAAACTGTATTTTGTAAGACAACTTTTGTCTTTTATTAGGAGACAGGAGACCTTTGAGGAGACAGGAGACATCAAAACAACAAATATCGACATGCTTCAGCGCTGCGCTCAAACTGAATCCACCTGAAAACCTCTTAAACGGGTTCTGTGTGCTCCATCCAGCTTTACTCGAGCACTGACTCAATCCCTCTGTCCTCCTCTAGGTGTCTCTCTCTGTTCTCTCATGGCCGAACACACGCAGGAATCCATTACTGAAGTAATTTGATTAGGCTGGAATAATATTCCCTCCCCCGCCCAACCTCATGCAACTTTTAATTAGTTCATTAAGATTTTACATAAGAAAGAGAAACTTTCTTCATTTGAGCTGTGATCCAATGAACCACAAAATACGGCTGAGAAACATAATGCCGCCAAAACAATTATTCCAACCTGTGAGCTTGAAAGGCGTCCTCACTGCTACTTCACTTTATGTGCTCTGTGTGTAAGAGGTTTGTTGTGGTACTCGAACTGAGTAATATTCATATGACCTTTACATATGAACAGTATGCTGCATTATAACACCTTGCGATAAATCCCATCACTGTCTGTTATGACAGCTTTGTATTTTCCTGTGTCCCACATTTTAAGCACAACCATTCTCCAAACTCCATTAATTTTCTCCGTAGGGAAATTGATTTTTAATGATAACTTATAAACCTTGTTATAAAGCTAATTGATGGAATATGCTTGTGTTGCCCGCATTATTTCAACTTATTTAAAAAAAAAAAGAATATTTAACAGCTGAATTTATGGTGAAAAACTACATTACCCATGATGATGTACAGAAAATTCCACCAATCAGAGGACTGCAGTGCATAAATTGCACCAAAAGATCTCTTTAGCTCCACCCACAGTGATGCAATCAATTCGGTCTCATTACGCTGTCAAACTATATATATATATATATATAAATTTCTCCATTGTTTTTAAGACAATTATATCATTTGCAATGATTCGTGGGATTGTAGTTCTTTCCCTCACTAAAGCTGTTTTGATTCAAATGAAAATTTGTAATGCTGTGATTCTCCTTGTAGCTGGTTGGTTTGGTTCATGGCTTACAACTCTTTAAAAAAGATTAAAACGAAGGAAAAAAATGAGTGGGCAGCACTAATGCAACCTATTGCAGAAAATGACACCCAGGAAGTGACCTCATCTGGACTCTTCATGCAGTGTGTGTGTGTGTGTGTGTGTGTTTTACCCCAATTCTTCGTCAGCGATGTTTTTCTTGCCGGAGAGCTGGCGTTTGCGTAGTTCTGCGAGCATGGCTTGGATTTCATCGTTCATCTCGTTCACACTCTTCTCAGGAGCCCCGTCCCTCGAGCCCAGAGTCGCGTTCAGCTCACGTGCTTTGTCCCGTAAAGCTGGACAACACACACACACACACACACACACACACACACACACACACACACACAACACACAAAAATACTGTAATTGTAAACACTTTTACTAATGAGGTCACACCATACACTACTATTTATATGAATCTCATTTTAATAAAATGATGATTGACACATACAGGGGACAGTATATACACAGAACAAATGTAACTGTCCCTTATTTCTTTTCACCTCCTTTTCATTGGTGTGACTTGCTTCAGTTTAATTCAAAGAAGTTAAAATTTGACTCAGCAGAGTTAATGTTCTTTAATCAAATTCAATTCGATTCTATAATATAACCCCAATCAGTTCAAATGGGAGGGCGAAATAAAGAGCGAGCAAGCTTCTCTGCATGTTGTAATTTCAATAAAAATAATTAAATTGAGATGAAAATGAGCTATAATTACATGCGTTTCTGAAATTCCTCAAGTGTTCAAATGCAAACAGTCGATCGACTACAAAGAGCACAGTATATACCTGCCAATAGATAAATAAATAATTGCATAGTGAGTTTCAAACGAAGTTCGGGTCTTTGGGGTGAACAGAATCATTTGATTCCTCCTCGTTTAGCGTGCGAGAGGATGAGAGACGAGGCGGTTTACTGGAGCAGGGAGCTCACGCACAGAATGGATAATGAAGCTCTTCCACTCCACGCTGACTGATGTCTACTCTCCTCCACTTCTGCTAGCAGCTTTTGGGAAGCGGTTTTTGGCCAGTTATCAAAATCCAGAGGACCAACGTGCAATATGTTGGCTCTAAGTGCCAAACACGTATCCAAGAAAATAAATTAAGCACTTTTTTGTATTTATGGCTTTAATCTGCTTGCATCCGGTGGGTGAGTGTCCATCAGTATGTGCGTCTGATGTTTAGGTGTCCAGAGACAACACCATCTGTCATGAGAACACCTCTCAGGTGTCAACCACATTTGCATGATAGGTGTTCGGGGAATTGAGATTGTGATCTGGCCACAAAAACTGATAATCAGGTTTTTTTTTTTTTTTTTTTTTTTAAATATTGTATTGATTTGTTGGCAGCAGCACGAAGTGTGTTGGAAGTGGCGGCGTTGTCAATAGAAGGTGTGCCAGGTCGACTTCCTGTCCTTGAACTACCTGCTGAGCCACGACCACCCCCTCGCTTAGGAGGAGTGCGCTTCTTCTGTGAGAGGGGAGACAACAAGAGAGCACTGTACCATATACACATGAAACAACATTAGAATCTTCGCTCTCAAACACTCTCCCAAACACACACACACAAATATAGATTAAGAAAGCACATGCAGGACAAAACATCACGAATGTGTGCAATGCTGCAAAATAGACCTGTGCTGCACCAACAAACATACGCACAGGACATAAATCTAACATTTTGCCACACCTGTCAATGGCCTGCGACTTGAGAATATTTACTGGTCAAAAATATTTTTTTACCAGCCATGAAACTGTATGTGCATTATTTCAATAACATTTTTATTATTATTTTTTAATATTTTTGATTTATTATTATTATTTCATAAAATTATAAAAGTAAATAAATATTAAAACTAATATTTATAAAATATTAATACTAATATTCATAACAATACTAATACTTATGGTAGTTTTTTTTTCTTCCCATTCTCATTGCATTCTCATTTTCAAATGCACAAAAAAAGTTTAAGAGCCAAAACAGAAATATATATGGAAGCTGCCTTTGGTACGACACTATTATAGATGCTTGTTCAACTTCTATTGGCAGATCAGAGCATAGATGCTGTAATTTGCAGCTTTTATTAAGATCCCAAGAAATTTTGTAAAAATTTTAACTTCTTTTCATCTGAAACAGCATGCTGTGCTCAAGGCGTGAGACACTAAAAAACAGCAAGACAAGCCTGTCGAGTGCATGTTTATACAGACTAGATGGACACAAGAAGGCAAATGCTGTTGATGAACAAGATGCATCAAGAATCATATCATGATGAGTCCCTGAATCTGGTCATAAAGATGTTTCATGATTGATCTGAACTGAATCAACATTGAAATAAATTGATTTGAATATTGACACTTGTCTCCTGCAGAGCTGCTTTGCAACTGAAATTAAATTTGTTTCATAATTTATGAATTTTAATTTTCTGTTTAATAACGTGAAGCTGATTTGAAACAATCTGTGTTGCATAAAGCACTATACAAATAAATATGACTTGACTTGACTTAAAGGATTCAACTCCCACTACACACACAGTCAGTGAGTGGAGTATCTGTTTAAGTGATTATTTTTCCAGTAATGAATTTTGTCTCTTTTAATTAAGGCATCATATAGTGTTAGCTGAACCTTCATAATCTAAAGCAGCTTCTCATTTAAAGACATGCACAATGAGACAAACAGTTATTAACAGAGCATCGGACCTTTCACACTCACACACACACACACACACACACACACACACGCACACACACCTCTGGTTTGCTATCTTGGTGGGGACTCTCCATAGGCGTAATGGTTTTTCTACTGTACAGACCGTATATTCTATTGTCCTACACCAACCCTACCCCTAAACCTACCCCTCACAGGAAACTTTCTGCATTTTTAGATTTTCAAAAAACTTAATTCTGTGTGATTTATTAGCTTGTTTACCCATGGGGACCTCAATTTAAGTCCCCACCGTGACACGAGTCCCCACGAGTCTGTGTGTAGTCCCCACCAGAATAGAAAAACAGGTACACACAGACGCGCACGCGCACACGCATGCACGCACGCACGCACACACGCACACACACACACACACAAAGCCCCATCCTCACCTCAGCCTCATCCAACCATCACCTAAACCTCAGCTAATCTCATACTGATCCCATGAAAACCTCATTAAAATCATAATTTCAGCTGGATCAGTCAAATCCATCTCCTCAGTTTGATATTTGTTGGTACCTTCAGCAGCCAGCAGTGTGTTCCTGACGTAAAGCTCCAGGTCCTCGGCTCCTTTGCGGCTCCGCTCTGCATCTGCTGCCGTCTGCTGTCCATCAGCAGACACTTTAGTTGCCTGCATGTGAAAAACCCAATGAAAGATTTTAAGGAACAGTCTCAGATCAGCCTCACATGCTCTTCTGCAGCCGTGTGAAGAAGCCGAGCAGCCTCAGGATAAAAACAACGAGACACATTAGATCTGACACCTCTATGCTGGTTTGCTGCTCAAGAAACATTTCTGATTGTTATCAATGTTGAAAACAGTTGCTGCTGATTTTTTATTTTTTTTTTGTGGAAATTGAGATACATTTTATTTTTCAAGATACTTTGATAAAGAACAGTATTTGTTAGAAATAGCATTTTTTTTTGGTGACAAGTCTTTACTGCACTGTTGATCAATTTAATCCGAATAAAAAAAGTAGCCTATTAATTTTTCCCCTTTTTTAATCTTACATACCCCAAACTTTTGAATGGTAGTTTATCACAGTTTCCACAAAAATATGAAGCATCATAACTGTTTTCAGCATTGATAATAATCAGAAATGTTTGTTGAGCAGCAAATCAGCATATTAGAATGATTTCCGAAGATCATGTGACACTGAAGACTGGAGTAATGATGCTGAAAATACAGCTTTGATCACAGAAATAAATTACAGTTATTTTAAATTGAAATAATATTTCACAATATTACTGAAGTTACTGTATTTTTGATCAAATAAATGCATCCCTGATGAGCAGAAGAGACTCTGTGCCCCAAATGTCCCTTTTTACTGTGAAATAAGTAAAACTTAATGTAGGGTCACATAGTTCAGTTCCTAATAATACCAATATCTATTAAAAAACAACAACAACAACAACAACACATTTATACTCAACGAAGGCCATCAGGAGATGTTTGCATGTGTGGACTTTCAGTTAATACTAAATTTGATGCTGAATTTAGATGGTTTAGACCAGGGGTGCCCAACCTTGGTCCTGGAGGGCCGGTGTCCTGCAGAGTTTAGCTCCAACCCCAATTAAACACACCTGAACCTGCTAATCAAGCTCTTATAGGCATACTAGAAACTTACCAGCAGGTGTGTTGTGTGCAAGTTGGAGCTAAACTCTGCATGACACCGGCCCTCCAGGACCGAGTTTGGGCATCCCTGGTTTAGACGGTTAGTAAACAAGTGATTGCAATGCAGCTTCTTTGTTCTTGACTTCCACACTCCATACCGTAAGAACTGAATAGATCAGGTTCAGGCCTGATGATTACCGTGTGAGAGACTCACCCTGCTGAGCAGTTCGTCCATCTCAGTGACCAGACTGCCCAGGTTACTGTCAGCCAGCTGCAGCAGTCTCTCCGGGGCTCTCTGAGGGGACAGCATGTGCTGCAAACACACGACCAAAGACACGGCATTACCATCAACACATGACTGACGGACAGAGACGTGTCACCATGGAAACCAGGATGACACAGGCCTCATTTGACATCACTGAATTATGAGTCATGTAATGAATAATTCGAGCTATACATGGAAAACGATATTGTAAACAACTCAAATATAGATGCTAATTAGCAGAAGATCAGTCCGTCTGACGTGATTAGAGCTTGTCCAAACGAACCTGCCGTCCTACCGGAGCTTAAACAGATGAAGTACAGCACATGATTACTGCTTTAGTTTCTGTGTTCAAGACGTAGTTCTGACTGTGCTTTTTCAGCTTCTCTGTGTCATTATTCAGGTGGAGTATGCAAACAATTAAAGTTGTACCGGAAAACATTTTACAGACATTTTTTGGGCTGTGTTTACATGTGTACAGTATGTTTGTAAATAAACTCTCAAAAAAATAGGACTGTCAATTGATTAAAAAAATTTAACTTAAAGGGATAGTTCACCCAAAAATGAAAATGACCCCATGATTTACTCACCCTCAAGCCATCCTAGGTGTATATGACTTTCTTCTTTCAGACGAATCCAATTAGAGTTATATTTAAAAACGTCCTGGCTCTTCCAATCTTTATAATGGCAGTGAATGGGTGTTATTTTTCAACAGTCCAAAATACGTCAAATAAAGTGCATCCATCCATCATAAAAAGTGCCTCACACGGCTCCGGGGGGTGAATAAAAGCCTCCTGAAGCGAATCAATGCGTTTTTGTAAGAAAAATATCTATATTAAAATCTTTATAAACCGTAATTTCTAGCTTGCGCTAACTTGCGCGTTCATTCAGGCAGATGATGTAGGCGTATTGTAAGGTCCGGTGAGAAGTGACGAATGAGGAAGCGCAGAGGAGAAAGCATAACAAAACACCGGTCACGAATTAGAAGTACAAAGCGAAGATTTGTAAAGAAAAATGTCGGAGGATTTTGATATAAGCCGAGTATGGAAACTTTGCTTCCTTTGCTCCTGTTAACAAACGTCGGTTCTCGCGAGACTAGCATATTCTCACCGGACCTTACGCTCATAGATATGTATATGCTTAGTGGAAGCTAAAGATTACAGTTCATACATTTTTAAAATGGATATGTTTCTTATAAAAACGCATTGATTCGCTACTTTTTATGATGGATGGATGCGCTTTATTGGACTTCTTTTGGACTATTGAAAAATAACACCCATTCACTGCCATTATAAAGCCTGGAAGAGCCAGGACATTTTTTTATATAACTCTGATTGGATTTGTATGAAATAATAAGTCATATACACCTAGGATGGCTTGAGGGTGAGTAAATTATGGGGTAATTTTCATTTTTGGGTGAACTATCCCTTTAATAGCATGATGTGCTATTCAGCAGCAATCCATTTTGCAATTGAATTTATGATTGAGCGGGATCACCTCTGAATTCAATAATGCATCCTGTAAGTTAGTGCATTAAACTGACAGTAAAGATCTTCCAGACTTGGATGTGTTTGGTGTTTTGAGGCCCTGTGAATGGACACTGATGATCAGAGCTCTGCTGCTCATGCTCACCTTCAGCTCCTCCGTCATGTTCTCGTATCGATACAGCACTTTATACGGCAGGGGGAGGGGCAGAGTGAGATTGACGCTGCCAATCAAACGCAGCAGACGATCCATGTCACGAATCAAGAGTCCCGCGCAGTCGTCGTCACACGCTGGAAACACAGAGTCAAATCTTGCAGCCCTATTTTGAGACATTAGTCGCATAGGAATTACACACTTCAGTTACACTAGCAGTCCATTTGTACATTTACTGAAGTGCAAATTAAAAAGGAGTGCACATGTGTTATAAATAGAAACCTTGCCTATGTTTGCCCCGTTAATCATTTTTTTTTACATTTTATATTAGTTGTTCTTGTTGCTTTTCTGCAATAGATGAATAACAATTTATTTGTTTTTAGATATTTTATGTTGGGGCGGGACTATCTGATTGATTGACAGAAGTTCAAGTTGACAGAAGATTGATTGAATGTTCAGGAAACCCCTTGCAGCCCTATTTTGAGACATTAGTCGCATAGGAATTACACACTTGAGTTACACTAGCAGTCCATTTGTACATTTACTGAAGTGCAAATTAAAAAGGAGTGCACATACTTGTACTGCATTCATATTTGATTAAGGCATGTGTACAGGATGAGTGTCTGTGAATATGTGTGTGTGTGTGTGTGAGGGCACACGCTCTCTGAAAGGACAACAAGGATGGACAGGTCCTTGGGCAATGCTGTTAACGAATGTTATTGGCCTCTTTTGTCTCTGCTATCACAACAGCACTCATCCAGCATCCCTCCATCATCTCCATTCACCTGCTCGGAGGGAGAGCCGTGTCCCCGAGCACTTCTCTCTCTCTAGATTAAACGTGAGCGAGGTGGAAACTCAGGGGAGCAGGACTTCTCAAGCGTGAAATTTAACACAGAGTGTGAAACAGCTCCTGGCAGCCCATTATGAGTGTTTGACATGCTACGAGCGATAGCGGGAGGGAAAAAAGACACAGACAGGCACGTGGCTTTCGCTGCGGACGCAAAACACAGCTCAATTTAACCTCTTGAAAAAAATGGAGCTATTAAGATTTCCTGTGAAGACGCCTTTTCACGCAAAAGACCGAACGAGTAAAGGTGTGAAAAGATCTGGAAATAAAAAAGTCTCACTGAAGAGTTCATGAAAGCAAAATCGGAATTATCAATCTTTACAGCAGGGTGGTGCCTCCATATTAAACAAAATATTTTCACTCATTCCTCAGTGTATTTTACAAAAAAATTAATATAAATTGCATATAGCTTAATGCATTAACAATGACAGTCTAAGGGAACCAGGATAAACATGAAGGAAAATAAGTTATAATAGTCAGATTAGTAGAGCCGGCTGATAACCACAAGGCAAGCGGTGTAACCAGCCTTTGCACATATTCTGTGCATATTCATATTCTGCACATATTACATGATTTGTGCTACACCGACCGAATATTTCCAAGTAATTTTACCTCATAAATCTAATGCTAACAAGTTTAATGTCCTGCGGTCATACTTTTAAAACTGTATGTACTCTAATATAGTCAAGTTGTTTGAGTTGTATTACGTTTTTATTATTATGATTATTAAAGGTTTTTTATTTTACATTTTTGACTTCAGAAAAAAAAAAAAACATTTCACAATTCAGACCCATGACACGAACCTGATACATACTAATTCATGAAGCATACAGAACTCATTATTACTGTTATTATATTATATATTATATTATTACATTAAATTATTATTATTTTATTATTTTTTATACGTTTTTTTTATCTGTTTAATTTTTCTAATACAAATCATTTATATTATAAAAATTAGTCAGAGCAATAAAAATACAGAAATATATACAAAAATACTATTGTACGGTAAAAAAGTAAACTAATTAAAAATTTGTATAACAATAATAATAATTATTATTATCATCATCATCTCATACACGTGCACAAACACGCACATAAAAATAATTATCATTTAAAATATAAAAAATAAATCAACATATTACTATTGCAACAATATAGTTAGTATAGTAAATTATATTGTGCAGTAATTATTTTAAATAAATAAAACAAAATAAATTGTTATTATTATTATTATTATTATTATTATTATTTACTTACTTATTTTACAGAACAACAGTAAATTACTACACTGATATATTCATGTTGGCCAAGCTTCTCAGGTTGGAAAATATGAAAAAGACCCATGACACGAACCTGATACATACTAACTCATGAAGCATACAGAACTCATTATTACTGTTATTATATTATATATTACATTAAATTATTATTATTTTATTATTTTTTATACTTTTTTTTTATCTGTTTAGTTTTTCTAATACAAATCATTTATATTATAAAAATTTGTCAGAGCAATAAAAATACAGAAATATATACAAAAATACTATTGTACGGTAAAAAAGTAAACTAATTAAAAATTTGTATAACAATAATAATAATTATTATTATCATCATCATCTCATACACGTGCACAAACACGCACATAAAAATAATTATCATTTAAAATATAAAAAATAAATCAACATAATATAGTACTATTGCAACAATATAGTTAGTATAGTAAATTATATTGTGCAGTAATTATTTTAAATAAATAAAACAAAATAAATTGTTATTATTATTATTATTATTATTATTATTATTTACTTACTTATTTTACAGAACAACAGTAAATTACTACACTGATATATTCATGTTGGCCAAGCTTCTCAGGTTGGAAAATATGAAAATCCATATAAAAATAAAAAAATGACATCCCTGACTTAATGAATGCTGGATTATGAAGCAACACACGTCACACATACACAGAAAAAACACATGCATAATTACCCAATCTGTCCAGTCAACCAATACAATTATCATAAAACACGTAATTGCTAAAAGAGATGATTTCAAACCCAGTTCTGAGGAGCAGGTGTCTAGCGCAGCAATGCAATCTGATCTCTCCAAGCTGAGAAAATGATCAGTCAACAATTATATGAAAAGTAAACAGTAATTTTGTGAGGGGAAATCTGAGCATGTCTAATTAAAATGCTGTTTGTTTTGGCTGCATCTCTTCTCTGTTATTAGTGGCTGTTTAAGAAACAAAGACACAGAGGATAAATCAGATCAGCCTAACTTAGTTAATCATATTCAATATACATCACAGAAGTCTTAAAGGCACGGTAGCAGAAAAGGGTCAGGGTCACAGAGAGGCTGGAGACTGCTCATGTTTTGTCATACGTACACACGATGCCCTGAGGGCCACACACATGCCTCTCCATGCACTGGTCACACTTCAGGCCGCTGGCTCCGGGACGACACTGGCACTGTCCGGAGCGCGGGTCACACGCTGTGGGAAATGCACCGTAAGCGTCGCACTTACACTCCTCGCACCGGCCGCCCAACACACTCGGGTTACCATGGAAACCAGGGGCGCACCTGCGCAGACCGGAATCACATTCAAAAAGTTATGAGGCCTCTGTTAAAAAATTACTATTTACACTTAAAACTCGACTCACATTCAATGCTGCAGAGGGAAACGCACACTCATTTTCAACACTTTATTGACAGATTCGGCCATGTAAGTAACGACTTGTTTTACATCATTTAGAAATATGTTTTCACCTTTCACAGTGTATTCCCTCGTAGCCTTCAGGACAGGCGGTGCAGCGGTAGTCATTAAAACCCTCCGTCTGACAGGTGGGACTAAAGCTGAGAGAAACAGTGCAAAAGTTAGACTTAGCACAGCTAAAGTGTGTGTGTGTGTGTGTGTGTGTGTCACATACTTGTTCTCCGGGTTGAGGAGCGGACAAGCACAGGGTTTGCAGTCGTCGGTAAAGCCGCGCACGACGCCGTAAAACCCTGCAGCACATTGCTCACACTTATCGCCGACTGTGTTATGCTGACAATTCTAGAACAAAAAAGCATAAAAACACTATTAATACTTTATAACATGTAATAATACTGTTATAACTACGGTTGTCAATTTGATGCATTTAAATTAAACCATTAACAATGTTTACTGCACAATTAAATAATTATGTGTTGACTTCCGAGCAGCTCACAGTAAGTAACGTCATCATGTTATAGTTATTCTGTCTGAAATTAGAGATGCTACTAATTAAAATGAAAGCCATATCCTATATTTCCTAACACTTAAATGACTTCCAATTAAAAATGTTGGAAAATGTTTAACTCACATTAGACTCTTTGATAAGCATCTAGTTTTCACTTAAGACTACAGATGGTATATTTATTGATGTGTTCTGAGAGTTGTTTACTCTTGTTTACAACTAAACCAACCATTACCTAATCCCTTAACCACCCCTTATGGCTTTTCAGACTTTTCATCTGTGACATCTGATCTTATTTTCATTAATCATTTTTGAGAATCGCTTGCTTTGAACAAAACCAGCCAATATTTAAATCTCTTAAATGTCACTGCTGTACTGATACATGTGCTAGACAACACTATGAAAACAGCTAAATCTCAATCTGTGGGATCGTTGTTTTATATCGTCATATCATCCAGCCCTAAAACTGCTCCATGTTAAAACACTGAGGCATTATTAACAGAACAACTTTCTGTAAACCTGCTTTGAAACAATTCCATAATAGAGAATTCAGTTTGTTTTTTTTCAGTCTGCAGTCAGAGAAAACACACTTACTGAGAGCAGACGGCACAGAATGAATGCAGAGCTCACAATCTTTCAGAAACAGCTGAACGGAGCGCAGCAGAATGCAGGGTTTGATACTCGTTTTTTTAAGTTTAATTGCACATAACGTGACACTGGGTCTCATGGCTGTGCTTTTCCATCAGAATAATGCATGATAATGTCTCAGAGTCAAATTAATTTTGGGACAGCAAATATTGATATATACAATTAATTGCGATGCATCTGGTTTAAATTTAAATTGCTTGATTGACAGCACGAGTTACAGCATATAATCACACTGGTAAGACAAAAGACAACAGCTTAATTTCATTACACATAAAATCAATACAAATGCAGCTTTTCAAGAAACACATAAAGCTCTCTCTTAATCTTGTGAAAATGCAACATTAAGAACAGAAAGCTGGCCAAAGTAAAGAGATCTGCACTTCTCAAGTTGCCCAAGTCTCACAACAAGAATGAGCAGAAAAACGGAGAGAAAGAGGCACAGAGGAGCGGCAGCTTTCAGAGTGGAGTGTAATCAGACTGCTGAAGTTGCGCTTTACTGGGCCGCGTCGCTCTGAAACTTTCATTAACTTCCTGTGTACCTCAATTACTCAAATTACCCCCCTGCACACTCGTTTACCATTTTCAATTTGCGAAAACCCGTAAAATGCAAATTATATTGCTATTAGCATGCATGCAACTGAAAGCAGAAGAAGGTCTGTACAAACTGTTTGGAAGAACAGTTCGACTGCATGTCCATTTTGGTGGACTCAACAGACCTGATTCTTCCAGGGTGCTTTACTTGTACCTCGTTTCCACGAACACGGTGCTGGATCCATTCTGGCCAAATCCACATTTCCACTGCAGAAAAGCTGGTTCTGGGCAGCTGTTTTGTCAATCAGACTGCTGAAGTTGCGCTTTACTGGGCCGCGTCGCTCTGAAACTTTCATTAACTTCCTGTGTACCTCAATTACTCAAATTACCCCCCTGCACACTCGTTTACCATTTTCAATTTGCGAAAACCCGTAAAATGCAAATTATATTGCTATTAGCATGCATGCAACTGAAAGCAGAAGAAGGTCTGTACAAACTGTTTGGAAGAACAGTTCGACTGCATGTCCATTTTGGTGGACTCAACAGACCTGATTCTTCCAGGGTGCTTTACTTGTACCTCGTTTCCACGAACACGGTGCTGGATCCATTCTGGCCAAATCCACATTTCCACTGCAGAAAAGCTGGTTCTGGGCAGCTGTTTTGTCATCGCTTGGCTGTCAAGTCAATGGAAATGCAGGCCAGTTCTGAGAGCGGCTCAAAGATCCTCTGGCCGAAAACTGGCTCCAGCACCATTTAGTTTAGGAAAATGGGTTTTGGACAACTGTCATCTGCGATGGTTCATTGATACTGTTGCTAAGAGGTTCTGAATGCACATCAGCCCAGCAATGCTACTTCAACTCTATATACCAATGGGAAACACTCACTCAAGCCAATCCAATCAGGATGGACTTGGTCCACTCAGGGGAATGCAGCTCATAAATGCTTTTATTAAGGGTGTACGCACCTGGCAGACGGCTGTTTCAGGATCACATGAGTCACTGTGTCCATTGCACTGGCACCGGACACAGGTGCCAAAGCCCGCTCTGGACGCGGCTCCACCGGCATGAACAGAGAGCCTGTAGAACCCAGCTGCACATTCCTACATGAGACATCACACTGTTATTTACACAAACACACTGTACTACATCAGCAAGATTTTACAGCAACCTCTTACAATACAATAATATATTCATAATATGAATGTGAAACTAAGGGGGTGATTGCACGACACCGATTTCAACTAAAAATGGGAAACCTTTTTTGTGTTTCGGTCATTCATTTACATGACAACAGTGTTTTGGTTGCCTGAAAATGCAAACTTTTGAAAATGGGTTTCATCTGCAAGCAAACATTTTCAAAAACGCAAAGGAGAAACAGTTGTTGTTGTATAAACATCCCCTAATTCAGACTAGGTAATTTTCTTTCATAACACAACAAATGATTATAAAAATGACCATATTGCATGGCATTGTTGGATAAGTGTTCATAGCTATGTTTTCATAGTGTCTCTTTGATAGGATATTTGGGCTTTACTTTCTCTTAAGCCGCCTTTCCACTTTCTTCAATTTACGTACAATTACCACATTTCTTTCCCTAGTGGCAGTCACACAGAACTTTCTAATTGGTCATGAAGTAGTCGTTACCTGTTTATTCACCATGGTAAAATGAATGAATGAATAATGACTGTATGAAAATTTCCACATAAATCAAATGATGGCCAGTACATTTGAAGGTAAAGCATAGGAGGTTTTATAGAACTAATGATTATTTAACAATGATAAAACAACTATTTATAATGATGTCTATTTTGCAGAAATTATGGTTTAAAGAATAACATTTTAATGCACAAATATCGCTAATTCACTCATAGTTTTGTTTAGGATACATCACATCCAATCAGGCGGTTACATGTAGTCTAGACATAAAAGTTTGAATATTTTTCAACGTGTCTGAAGCTCAAACCGGATCCAAAATTTATATATACATACAGTACAGCCAAAACTTCACAGCTCCCGTACTGCTCATCATTGGAAATGAATGAGTTTTGGTCTGTTTGTGGTAGAAAGTGAAAAAACGGCTTTAGCTGGGCTTTAGCAGTTGCAATGTTACAGTTTTAGTATAAACATTATATTTAAAGGAGGTTAGTAATGAACTCAAGTTAATTAAGTGCAAGTTAAAGGAACACTGCACTATTTTTGAAAATAGGCTCATTTTCCAACTCCCCTAGAGTTAAACAGTTGAGTTTTACCGTTTTCGAATCCATTCAGCCGATCTCCGGGTCTGGCGGTAGCACTTTTAGCTGTAGCTTAGCATAGATCATTGAATCTGATTAGACCGTTAGCATCTCGCTCAAAAATGACCAAAGGGTTTCTATATTTTTCCTATTTAAAACTTGACTCTTCTGTAGTTACATCGTGTACTTAGACCGAGATTTCAACACTCAAAACCTGACAACGGAGACAACATAGACTCTTAGACATTATAGCAAATAGTTACAAATGAACCTGTACAACGTGTTCATTCTGCAGCGCATGTGTTAGCATAGTGCTGTGGCGTTCGGATATGACACTACTACAGTTAATGTGTAAATATGCAAGAGGTTACAGACACACATAATCATTGTCATTCATTTAGTAAGCAGGAACGTGCTGAAAATCCACGCCGAAAATTGTTACATTGTAGACCAGCATGTTCATACGGGGAGAAAAATAGTCCTCAACCGTTGAAACCATAGCAACACTCCCTCTCACCATCGCTCTTCAAAATTAATCGCATCAATTTAGTACACCATCTGTTCAGGGTGAACTTGTTAAACGCCTGTTTAAAAATACTTTATTAAGCACAGTATGAGGTGTTTCAGAGTTACGGCCATCTGTCTCACGCGGCCTCGTCCAGCCTGAATGTGAACAACTGACTCTCGCTGATCTGTAATCAGAGTCTCGCACGCTTGAGCTTGTTAAAGATCTCACACGAGCGCTTTGTGGGCGGAGACTGGCGGCGAGAGAGCGCTTTAACACATTAACAGTCTGAGAAGCAGAAACACTGGCTGTAATGATGAGTGTCGTGCAGCGATACATCCAGCTGTTCGTCTCTCCACACTCGGCCTGTTTTTCCAGAGCTGTTGTGTTTCTAGAGCTCTGTTATGAAAGGGCACGTCAGCACCTTTCAAAGCGGCTTAATTATTGTGACAAGGACGTCACGTTAAATCTATTTGGAAACTGCATTACTGGGACTTTTCAGAGTTGTTTTTTTGGTAATGTTATGAACAACAGATTGAGTTTATTATGTGGATGAAGCGACCTCAGCCATGCTATGTAATAAATGTAAAACACATACTGTAATGTTTTCATGAAAATGTGTGTCCTTACTATTTTTACTATGACGTTGGCCTATGCTCTATTATCTGACCTACAGAGAGTTGGGTAATAATAGCATTTATGACATATGTCTAATCACAGCCTTCCAGCACATAACAGCTCTTACACGTCAAATATTGTGCACAAAAGCCTTTACCTCACAGGAGAGACCGGCGTATCCCAGAGGACAGTCACATTTCTCAATCTGATGGGCGATTTCACTGTCCTTTGAGGGCGTCCCCACCTCAGCCACCTCCAAAGTGATCTCAGAAATCCTGCACATCACACCAGTTCACACACACATACAGTGGGTACGGAAAGTATTCAGACCCCCTTAAATTTTTCACTCTTTGTTATATTGCAGCCATTTGCTAAAATCATTTAAGTTAATTTTTTTTCCTCATTAATGTACACACAGCACCCCATATTGACAGAAAGCAAATGGCTGCAATATAACAAAGAGTGAAAAATTTAAGGGGGTCTGAATACTTTCCGTACCCACTGTACATATGAGCTTCTGCTCCTTCATAACTATTTTGGTATTACAAAACTTATTACAACTCATAAATTACTAGAACTTATAAAACAAGTTCTTACCAGTGTTATTTTAGTATAATAGATCCCATTATAGTTCTTATTCATATTTTGAATTAGTTTTTTTTTTGTTGAAGTTTTGGTCATTTATTTATATATATTTTTTTCACTTTTTTTTGTTTTATTTATATGGCTATACAGTTTTTTATTAATTATTTCATTTTTAGTTTCAGTTATTTTAGTACAAGTTAAGCTAAATGAAAATTAGAAATGCTGCCTCAGCAACGATGCAAAAAAAAAGTTTTTTTTTTTAATGTTTATTTTAGTTAAAGTTTATTTTATTTCAAGTAACATTTTTTATGGTTTAAGTTTTAGCTTTAGTTATCTATAATCACCAAGGTTCTTCCTCGTAATTTGAAAGTTGAATAACATTTGAAATAAAGTTGTAGGCCATGCTTGAGATCAGTTACCTGCTGTGTCTCATGACGCTGCCATGTGAGGCCTTTATTAGGATATATTCGACATGAAACAGCACGTCCATGAAATCCTCACGAGACATCGGCCTGTCATCCTTGTGTTTCCATTCGTGCTGCAAAACATCAGTGTTTTAGTGTATGGTTGATGTAACTGTGGTAAATGAGATCATGTGAATGACTCCTGCACATGCAAACACTGTCAACACTCTTGTAAAAGTGATGTGTTGTGTGTTTCAGTAAGTGGGAGGGGCTGAGCGCTGACTCTCATCCCTGATTGGCTCACCTCTGTTATGTCAATCTCGTGACGGGTCAGCTGGCCAATCTGAAGTGCTGGCATGTGGCGGACCATGACCTTGTCCTTGTTGGGTCCGCCCTTTATGATGACCTGGGGCTCGTAAGAGGTGCGGCCCGTCTCATCACGAGCCTCGTAATAGATGGCATACTTCAGCTTCCCACCATAGGCTGTTATCTGAAAGAACAACCTCCAAACGGTGAGACTCGTTGTAATGTTCATTAGCTGGCCTTGAAATTCAAAAATTTAATTTTATATGATTGAAACAACTGGACTGTACACTTGCATTCAAAAAGTTTGGCATCATTTTTATTTAAAGAAATAAATTATTTTATTCAGCAATGCTGAAAATGCTGTTCTTTTGAACTTTCTATTCATCAAAGAATCCTGAAAAATAAAATGTGTCACGGTGACGTGACACTGAAGACTGGAGTAATGATGCTGAAAATTCAGCTTTGATCAAAGGAATAAATTACATTTTTAAAATATATTAACATAGAAAACATATATTTAAATTTTTTAATAATATTTCACAATATTACTATTTTTACTGTATTTCTAATCAAATAAATGCAGCTTTGGTGAGCAGAAGAGACTTCTTTCACAAGCATTAACATTTTTTACTGACCACAAATCTCCTGTTATCACACATTTGGGACTTATTTATTTTCTAGCAACAAACATGTATACATTAATGTATGTAAATGTGTATTTAATGTATATAAAATAAATGAAAAAAAAAACAAAAAAAAAGCTGAAGGATGTTAGTGGCAGACTGACCATGGAGCGTTTGAATTGTTTTGGCAATCTCCAGTAGTACGGCTCAGTCAGATGCTGCTGGACCACATCAGCATTAGCGATGATGTCAGGATGCTGGAAGCTCACACCTGCTGTGATCTCCTGATGACTGGATTTGTCCACAAGAGGAAGAACGGTCTGTTCTGGCATCAGAGTCAGCTATAGGACACCAAAAGACTCATCTAAATCAATCGAGCTGAATTAACTTTGAACTTACAAAGTCAACATGAAATGGCATTCACAATTTAACTTCAGTCATATTTCCAAGTGAAACAGAATATTCAGTGGGATCTAATGTAGATTGGATTGTGAGAAATGCTTTGCGATATTATTAATGGTTAATGTTTGTGCTCACCCACACAGCAGATGTTTCAGAGGTGGAGAAAGTTATTACATCTCAAAGAAAGATTATGAAATTTTTTTTGTCATTAGCGCTCCAGAGATTTTTATTAAGTAAGCAGGGTTAAATTGCCACACAAAATAGTGTAATAGTGTTGTGTTTCAGCGTCAGTGTCTTTGAGGATTTATTTGTGTGTGTATTGAGAGGCATAGTTTGGTAAATGTGTGTGTGTGAGGAACCCCACAGGGCAGCTAAACTACCCTCACATCAACACACAATCTCACGACTCACTGACTTAGAAAAAATCTCTCGTTTTCCCAAAAATGAGCTAAAGGATTCCAAACTCCTCTCCGAAACTTAAATTAACTTTTAGACAGCAACCTTTGTTTAATTTGTCGATTTCATCACATTGGAAGAGTGTCATTCAGCCATATTCTGCTTTTTTTCTCCATGGACATGCTGAGGATTAAGACGAGTTTCTGAACATGCAGGAAACCCTTTTTAAAAACAAACAAGGGGCGTCTCTGGCTCTGTGCGTCATCGCTTTCTCTCTATATTTGTCTCTGTCTGCTCTGCTGCTCCTGCACACTTAATTCTGTCCTGTTGTGAATATGGTTGAGGGAGAATGACATCTAGGAAGCACTTGATATTTATTAATATTTACTGTTTCCCTGGTAACCGGAGCATCTCAGCCCACCTCGGGACAAGATGATTAAGAAAGCCATCAAAACACACACACAAACAGACACCTGTGTCCTCATCTCATCCACACCATCACAACCAACATATAAAGCAAATCATAATTAAAACATATCCTTTGGTTAAGAATCATAAACGCTCATAATTCTGTCAAATAACAGTCAAAATGGTTTATAATTATTGAAAAATTTCATACTTTAAAGAAAAAACATTTGAGTAACCGGGTTGAATAGTTAATAGTTGAACCTGACACACTGTATGTGTAAAAGAAACTGCGATGAGATTATTTACTTCTCTTTCCACCTAAATTAAAAAAAAGTGTTGCTATTGTCAAATCCAATGCTCCCTTACAAGGGGTAATGAGGTTGTTCAAATGAGGAACAATATTATGTGTTGAATAATTACATCTGAAGTGAGAATTAAGAATTCTCTTCTTCCTCTGCACCTATCACCTGCGGGGTACCTCAAGGCTCCGTTTTGGGCCCGGTTTCATTATATATATTCTCCTGTTAGGTATACATTTTTAGAAACACAGCATCTCATACTATTATTTGTCAATACTCTGCTTCTGCTAAAACTGAGTTCTGCCTTACAAACTCTGTTTGCCACAGAGACATTAAAGTTAGATAGCTATGACCGATTTGGTAAGAAAAGTTTTACCAGAAACTGCTTTATATAAGGAGGAGATGTTAACCTGTGTCATATGTCCTATTGGATAAAATGTAATGGTAAACAATGCTTAGGAATCACATTCAATTCAGTAATTAAATATGGTAAGGTAAAACAAATTAAAATGTAAGTAAAATGCAAGTTGTGTGTGTGTGTTTGACTTGTGTACGACTTGTGTGTGTTTACCCACCCTCATACGGATGAGTCCCGTGGCCTCTGTACATGAGCTGCTCAAGCCGAAGCAGTAGCACTGACTGCAGCCCAGTGGATTCCTGTGATTGAGGCTGAACGAGCCCACCTTACAGCGGTCACATTTCACTCCCTCCACGTTAGCCTGAACACATACATTCACATTAGCACTGTGTGTGTTGTTTTACAGCTACCTTAAAGAATAGAGTTGCATTTCCCAAAAGTATTGTAAGCCTAAGCAGATCAAAGAAACCATCAGAATCAGTGATCTCTATGATCTACTTAGGCTTGCAATGCTTTTGGGAAAGGTAGCCCAGGACAGTCTCTCTCACAGCTGGCATGTGGGAACAGCAGTTTTATCAGTGTGGAGCATCATACAATAATTAATTGGCAGTGCATTTCTATACCCCTAATAGTCATTATGACATGGCAGTTCTGCTGAAAAATCCCTTTGATCACAATTTACTGTACAACAGTGTACAACAGTGGCTATACTGGATGAATCAGAGTCGGGTTTCAAGCTCAATGTCATTACCTTGCATGAGCACTGCCCACTTCTGTCTGCACATGCGCAGAGACCAGACTCTGCATCGCAGGTGTCCAGTGATGAGCCTGCCGCCGAGCACTGGCAGGAAATGCATTGTGGGAAGTCTCTGTAACCCAGCTTACACTCGTCACATTTCTCACCCCTGAACTGCTCACGGCACATGCAGCAGCCTGTGTTCACGTTACATTGCTGTGCTACAGACCCCAGCGCGTTACAACCACATGACTACAGAGAAAGAGAGAAAATTACACACATATAATTCATAATATGCATAACATTTAATTAAAATGGCATTCACTTTCCCTGCATGTGACTGAACACTTTTGAAAATGTAGGATCCATTCTGAACCATTAAGTGTTGTAAAGTCTGATCAGGGCAGGCAAGGCTGAGCATTATTTGCCACTTAATAGAAAATCAGTCAGAATAAGATGCAATTCTCAGCACTGCCCTTGGCTGCTCCTCTTCCTACCTTAAGGCGAGAGATTTTTCCATTGAAATTGAGAATTACATTTCTTCCTCTACATCTATCACCTGCAGGGTATCTCAAGGCTCTGTTATCACCTGCAAGGTATCTCAAGGCTCTGTTTTGGGGCCGGTTGATTTAACAGAATCACTGAGTTGGAAAAGTATCACCCCCTTGTGCCAGTATTTTGTTGAACCACCTTACAGACTTTAGTCTGTTGGGATATGTCTCTATTAATAAATCTAGACTTTGCAACATTTGCCCACTCTTCTTTGCAGAACTGCTCAAGTTCAATTAAATTTGATGGTGAGCGTTTGTGGACCGCAGTCTTCAGGTCATTCCACAGATTTTCAGTGGGGTTTAAGTCTGGGCTCTGACGAGGCCATGCAAGGACATTCATCTTTTTTTTCCTTCAGCCACTGTGTGCTCAGTTCCTCTTCAGGAACTCGAGCTGCGTCGGAAACGCTAGGGGAACGCCTTCTGTGACCACGCTCTGAATAACATGTGAAATCAGTCCAATAGCTGAGCGGGACGTCACGGGCGGGTGACGTCATGACCAGGAAGCTATAAAAGCACGTGCGGCGGAGCCAGCGTCAGCTTTTCTGTCATTCAGCGAAGCGCTCTGTGTGTGTCAGTCATATTTATTGTTGTCTGTCAATTGTGAAAGTCTATAAGCTCCAGCTATGTCTAAGCTCATGCAAAGACAAAGCATTTCAAGGGCGAGAGCAAGCCACGTTGTAGGTTGTGTGTTCCTCCCTGCCCAAAGAAAACGTTACACACAGCCTGTGCGTGGTTTGCTTCTGAGCGAAGCACTCAGAGTCGGCTCTCGAGGGGGCCGCCTGCCCGCATTTCGAGCGCCTCCCACTGCGTACGCTTCACTCCCGCAGGGCTCTCT